ACTTTTTTATTTGTTTTGGTTTCTGAGACAGCTTTTCTCTGTGTAGCCTTGGCTGTCCTGGAACTTGCTCATGTATCACTACGTCTTACTGTAAAATGTGCATCTCAGTGAAGTAGCAGGAAGCAAATGGAGCATATGGTATATAGTGTGCTAATATGGTAGTCATTACTTTTAGCTGCTTCCGTAGAGAGAATGTTTTACAGTTAATAATGGAAATAATTTTTTTGCTATGAATAGCAGCAAAGCTGTGTGTATGGTGACTGTTTCTGAGTCTCATAGAGCAGTAAGTAGCCCAGTAGCAGAATGCAGGTTCCCGTGGCTCCACGGTACTTCATGTGGGCTCTGGGACAGAAACACCAGCATCTCCTGGAAACTTGTGAGACATGAGAAGTTTGGGGTTCCTTGCAGTAATCCACTATATCTGAGTGAGGCTGGATCTTAGCAAGACATTCAGATGAGTATCTGTGCTGAAGTGTGATGTCCGTAATCTGCTGGAGGCTTAAGATGTGTCATAAAATCTTAGTTTTGCATGAGAAACTTATTTTTCACAAAGATGCTGTTTACATAGCTTTTTTAAAAAAATTTTTATTGAGAAAAAAAAAGTTTCCGCCTCCTCCCAGCTTCCCATTTCCCTTCTCCCTCCTCCCGCCCCTCTCTCTCTCCCTCCACTCCTTTTGTCCTCCCTCTCCAGTCCAAAGAGCAGTCAGGGTTCCCTGCCCTGTGGAAAGTCCAAGGTCCTCCCCCCTCTGTCCTCTATTTTACCTAATTTGTTCATATTTTATGCACAAATCATTATAATTCAGTCATATTTTTTAAAAAATAAAAATAATCAATTTTATTCTTTTTTAGAAAAATAAAATATTAAAGCAAAACATCACGTTAAAGTTGTACAAGGCAAACCAGTAGGAGGAAAAGAGTCCAAGACAAGGCACAAGAATCAGAGACTCATTTGTTTATATAATCAAGAGTCCCAAAAAAGTATGAAACTGAGCCGGGCAGTGGTGGCACACACCTTCAATCCCAGCACCGGGGAGCAGAGGCAGGCAGATCTCTGTAGCCAGCCTGGTCTACAGCGTGAGTTCCAGGACAGCCAGGGCTACACAGAGAAACCCTGTCTTGAAAAACCGGGAAAAAAATTACTAAACTGAAAGCTATAATATACATACAGAGGGCCTGGTGCAGACCTGCCTTGACCCTGTGCCTGCTCTCTCAGTCTCTCTGAGTTCATATGAGCTTTGCTGAGCTGATTTAGAGAGCCTTCTTCTCCTGGTGGCCTCCATCCCCTGTGCCTTTTGCGCTCTTTTCACAGCCTCCTATTCCAAAGGTACCCTGAGCTCTGAGGAAAGGGATTTGATGAAAATTTCTCATTTAGAGATGTGTGTTCCAAGGTCATGCTCTCTTTCTCTAATGTTGGGCTGTGGGTTTCTGTATTTGTCTCCCATTTGCTAAAAAGGAAACTTCTCTGATGGTGACTGTGCAAAGCACTGATCTAAGAGTATAGCAAAATATCATTAGGAGTCATTTTAGTGATACTCTTTTAGAGCAGTAGTGCTTGGTTTACCCCAGGTCTCTGGGCTATCTAGTCTCTGGTTTTAGTTACCCAAGCAGTGTCGGGTATGGGTTCCATCTCATGGAGTGAGCCTTAAGTCAAAACAGACATTGGTTGGTTACTCCCATAGGCTTTATTATTTGTAACCCTAAGTTTTAGGAATTATTTTTATTATTTTAAGTGTGTGTGTGTGTATGTCTGTCTGTCTGTCTGTCTGTCCGTCTGTCTGTGTCTATGTCTGTGTGTGAATATAAGTACTCATAGAGGCCAGAGGTGTCAGATCTCCTTGAGCCGGAATTACAGTTACTTGTGGATTCTGGAAGCCAAACTCAGTCCCTCTGCAAGAGCTGTATGTGCTCTTAAGCACAGAGCCGTTACATCCTTGAATCTAAAACCGTCTGACATTACTGAGGATAGTCTTGGACTAATGAAAAATATTTTTTTAGCAACACTTCCCAGATTTTATACATTAAGAACATAAGAATTCAAGGGATAAAATGCCCCCTTTAAAAAAGAATACGTACAGTTGTACATTGTATTGCATGACTTTCACTTAGCATGTCTTACCTTGTAAGCAGGATAGGGCTGTGGCAGCAGTGGAAATACAGTGTATAGAAAGAGGCATTTATAAAAGCTCCTACTACAGGGACATTCTTTCACGTAGCAAGTACATATATGTGCTGTTTAATCCTTGTTCCTTGGTTTCTACACAGGAAGGTGATAGTGATAGCACAGAGTTCAGCATAGCTACTGCTTGATAACTATTATTGATAATAATACCCAGCACATACATTACAGACAGAGTAACATCTGATGCCTAACCTCCAGGACATTATGGTGCAGTAATAAGGAGAAGCCGTTATAACAAACCTAGAGGTGCAGCAGGAAATGGTCAGTTCTTCCTGAGCGAATTAAATAAGGAGAGGGGATGACCTTTAGTCAATCCTTTTAAAAACGTAAGACAGAGTTTAAAGGGCCACTTCAGATAGAGAAGGTAAAGTGTTTTATGCCCCCAAGATTGGAAAAAGCCTGGGATTATCAGAGATTTCGAATCTGGGTAAGATCTAGTAGAACAGCAAAACCGCTGCTGCTTAAGATAAAGGCAGCCTCTGGATCATCACAGCAAGTGGAAGGATTCCGAGGTGTTGCCTTGAATGTTCAGGTGGTCGCTGAACTACCAGTGGGAGAAGAGATTGTTTGGGGAGCGAAGGAAAACGAGATGTTAAAAACGCATCTGAACAGAAGAGCAGTTAAGAGAATGGACCTACCTGCGGGGCACATACTGAGCTGTGACCCCCAGTTTCCTTATTCTTTTTCATAAGAAGCTGGGTGTGACAGTGCATGCCTGTAAACTCAGAACTAATGAAGCTGAGGCAGGAGACTGGTGAGTTTGAGGTCAGCCTAGGCTATAACATTAACCTGAGCTCCATTGTAAGACTACCTGTCTCAAACAAATAACACCAAAAATGAGCTGGGGATACAGCTGAGTGGTAGAGTGCTTGCTTAGAATACACCAGGCCCCGAATTCAATCCCCAGTACTCTCTGACGGGGCATAAAAATATAATGCTACCTACTTTCCAGGGTTGTTACCAGGAATAAAGGAAAATGGATGACTATAATGGTACCTGGCCCAGTGAACTGCCCATATGAGGTGCTGAAAACGTGGAACCTATTATTATTCCTTTTGCTTGGCTGCTCCTTCCCTTCTTCTCCTTTGTTCCTTCTCTCTCTTTTCCTTCCCCTTTGAAAGAACTGTGCTAGGGAAGAGACACTGGAAGGAGGCTGTGGTTATCTGTGACTTCATGAGTTTCCATTAAAATGAGCTAGAGAAGGACTTTAAGGCAAGGGCAAAAAATGCTGGAAATGTGGCTTCTAGTCTATGGATTCAGTTCTTCAGGGATGTTAGCCAATGCTTGGCGGAGAGGCGGTCTCAGGGGGTTGAGAACTCTATTCTTAGAGAGCTGGTAGCTGGGAGACTCAGAAAGCCTCTCTGAACTCTCCATGCCAGGGCCACAAGGTGTTAGGAATTCATCTTCAACTCATTTCTCCCACCTTCTCCTTCACTCTCACCTTCTCTTATCTATTGCTAGAAAATGCACTCAGCTCCAATCTCCTTTCCTCTTAAGCGTCCTCCCTAAAAAGACACTGTGACCCCTCTTGTCCTTGCTAGTGTCACGCGTTGCCATGGAGAACTGGGAGGGTAAAAATCCTCTTACAGTTACCATCTTTCTGACACTCCCTATTCTGCATCCTTTTCTTCCTGGAGATCCCTTACTCCTAGTCACCACACCCTCTCATCCTCCCCTAGAGAGCTTAAATCCTGGTGGATAGGTGAGCATGTAGGGTGTCTGAAAACCCGTCAGGGACTGAGTATTCACTGAAACTGATTTCAGTTGTACCTGCTGCTGCAGGAGGCCAACAGACGCGGCCGCCAGGGGCGAGGCCAGCTCCTAGCTCCTAGGTCTCGCCCCACCCCGTCTCCTGTCCCTCCGCCTTCTCTGCCCCACCCATCTCCACCCCCTCCTACTCCACTCCCCTCTAGCGGCCAATTGTCCCTTTTAAGGAACTCCACCCTAGGTGGAGTCCTCATGGTAGTCACACCTCTCTTCTGGGCCTAGTCTGCCAGAGAAAGAGCTAAACACTCCACCTACTCAGGTTGCCCAGCGAGCGCGCCAAGCTCTGACCCCACGGGCGTGGTGTACCAGTGGGGCGGCCAGGTACCACCGGAAGTCTCTCTGGCGCGGTCCGGCGGGAGTGCCTCCCACTCGCGTGGGAGCTCCTGCCCTGGGCTGGTGTTTTCCTATATGTTTCGACCATTTGCCGGCGCCTTTTCCTCCTTTCTTTTTAGGAAGGCGCCGGGTGTGCAGAGCTAACCGCTGCGTGGGGAGAGGGGTCCTCTGGCGCTGTCTGCTTGTGGGTCTTCACTGACTCCTTCTCCGTCTCAACTTTGCGTTCAAGTCGTGATCTGAGGTTTGGGTGCTTGGTCGGGACCCCGCCCCAGCTTTCTCGGGGAGGGCGTGAGGAGTTCTGAGGTGGGTGGAGAATGGGCTTGGCCGGAACTGAATCGGTTGAGGTAAAAGGGGAACGCAGGAGCTTTAGCGCTGGCCACTTCGCCCCGGAGAAGCCGCTGTATTTTTAGCACAGGGAAGGCTGCAGTGGGAGGATTCTTTTTAGGAAGTCTGCTCTGCCGCCCCGATTCGGGGCTTGGATGCTTGAAAGCTTTGTTTCCCTTGTTCTGAGGGTGGCCCAGCTGGGTCTGAATCGACTCCCTCCCTTTTTCGTTTCTCCCATCCTTTCCCAGCCCGGAGAAAACAGAGAGGTGGGGGACCAGGGAAGAGGAGGCTAAAGCGCGTTGCCAGGCGCGCTGTCAGACATGGGCGGGTGCGAGGGTAACAGCTGTCTTGAGATCAGCTCAGGAGTAAGAGTCTCTGGGAGGACTGCTTGAGCTCCGGACACTTCAGGAGTCCTCAGCTAGAGACAAGGGCGGTAAGTGACTCGGGAAAGAACCCACTCTCCTGTCCTCAGTCTAGGTTCTAACTCTCCCCCTCCCGCCGCCACCGATACCACCACCGATGCCGCCGCCGCCGCCAACCGCACACACCCACTTGGCTTTGGATTTTAGCAGTGAAGTGGGATGGGGGGCGTGTGAGCGGAAGGGGTAAGAACATTATGTGGAATCAAATTAAACTCAAGGGAAAATGATTTCCCTTAAGGATTGTGAAGAGAGACTAAGAGGAGGGGGTACTTCGGGGGGCCTTGTGGAAGAATTGAAAGGGAACAAGAATGGATAGGTTTGTCTAGTTCAGTCTCTCCTGTCTCGGTGCTCTCAATTCTTTTTAAGTGGTTTGTTTTAACCCCATATATCTAAAGTCTCAGCTAGAGAGAAGAGGATTTGGAAGACCAGTGATCCCACTTACTGATCCCACTTACGTCACTCCTCCCTTCCCCCAAGCAGTAGCAGGTAGAGATGCTTCTCGAAAGCTGGAGGAGGGGCAGCGAAGAGTTAAGTTGGGAGCCTGGTCTCTTGGTACTAATGGCAAGACCCCCTTCAAGGAACCTCTGAGGAGGAGCTGGTTAGGGTGTGCCAGCTCTTTTTCGGGGGGCTGAGCTTGGTTGCAGTAGGAAGCCAAAGCATAGCCCAGTCTAGGCTCCTTAAGATGTGGCCAAGAGGTTAGTTCCTGTAGGTGGATGATCAGCCAGCATTGCTGTGATTACTGGAGCGAAAGGATTTGCTTAGCTACAAGGTGAAGCTTTTTTGTACTTTTTTGGCCTTAAGAATTTTGAAGAAACTAAATCACATCCTAACAGGTGGCCAAGAGAACAATACCTTATTTTCTCTAATATTACTGTCAGTGCGAAAAAAATATATAAAGTATTTATATGCCACTTAGTGTAATAGTGACAGAGAAAAGAGAGAATAATATTTAAATTTGGATTGTAAGCTGAAGATTGTTGATTTGGGGTAATAAAAAGATCTACTTTGAAAGCCTACTACCACCACTAACTGGTTGCATGAGCACGAACCTTGCTTTTCTCCTCTGTAGGATGCATATTGGAAATTCTCACTCAGGAGATATACATGACATACGCTGCTAGTACTTGCTCTGATTTCCACTTTCCTTTTCTATTCTTCGTGGTTTTCCCGCTGGAGTACTGCTAGCCGAATTATTACTTTGCCGTCCTTAAAACACATTTCAGTCGAAGGGAACGAAGACCTGTGCAGTTTGAGTAGTTTGCACAAAGACAGGCTGGAATATATGTCTTATTTGTGATTTAACATTGTTCTCACTGGATTTTATCAGCTGCAAGAAAAAAGGCCACTAATCTGCCTATCTTCTGATTCTTTGGTCAGTTTAACCATATGATGTAACCAACAGGACCTTTGGACAGCAAACCAGTGATTCAGAAATGATTTCATCCTCTTCTTCAAAGTTTGGGGGTAACCCTTATAAGAGAGACATTAATCCTTGCTAACTGCTGGTGAGACAGTCTAGGCACAGCGTGTCTTCAGGTTAGTTTTAGAGGGCAACTAGGCAGAAATACAGGGTGGTAGAATTCTACCTTCCGAAGTGTAAGTGACATGTTCAGTCTGTTCTCCAGACCCGTTGGACTTCACGTCATCAGAATGCTAGAGAACCCTCTTGCTTTCGGATCTCAGAGGAAAGAAAATTGGTGGGAAAAATGATGGCCACAACTACCCTTATTTTTCTGGTATATGCATTTCAGAGATGAGGCTCTTAGTAGGTCTGCTATTTGTTTTTGTTTTTTTTTTTATTGCCAAGGTACCAAGACTAGATATTATTAGTCTTTCCAGAATGTTCTGTTTCCATGTGAGGAGGTAGAGATTGGGCACTCACGCTATTGTACTCTGGCAGGGGCTTATTAATGTTTGATACATTTAGATGTTTTATTTATTTTCTTATTTATATTTTTATTATGTTTATTTATGTGCTTTTTTATGTGTCTAAATGAGTAAATTGCTGCTTGTGTGAAGGAACCAGAATTACTGGTGATGGTGAGCTGCCCAGCATGGTTGTGGGGAACCAAACCTGGGTCCTCTAGAAGAGCAGGAAGCACTCTTCAGATGTAGCGGTCCCTCCAGCTCAGGACATTTATGTTTACCTTAGGTTTGAGTCACTTCTACTTTATGAGCTCACTTAAATTGTTAAGTGAAGGAAAAAGAGTTTGGGGATACGTAATTCATTTACAAATTGACATACTGGATGTTGGAAACTGGAGAAAAATGGTATTTTGTTTGTTTGTTTCTTAGTATTTTGGGACATTGAAACCAGTATCTGGTATATCATTGGAATTTTTTTTTCAAAAGCAACAGGGTCTTACTTTGTAACCAGACTGGCCTGGCTCGCAATCCTCCCGCCTCAACCTCCTGAGTGCTGGGATGAAAGGTGTGCGCCACCACCGCTCCGCGCACTGAGGCATTTTTAAAGCTCATTTTGTTTTAAAGTTCTGCTGCATTTTGGTTCTTTGTATTCAGAACTAAGTCCCCAGTTCTGTTGAGACTCCATGACACTCACTGTGCCTTCATGGTACTTACCCAATCACCTTTTCCTTGGAACAATTTGGTACATAGTTTGTAGATTATCATCTAAAGTCTTACTCTTTTTTTTTTTTTTTTAGTTTTGTGAGACAAGGTTTCTCTGTACAACAGTCCCGGCTGTCCTGCAATTGACTCTGCAGACCAGGCTGGCCTCACAGAGATCCACTGCTTCTGTCCTGTGCTGGGATTAAAAGCAGTCACCACCGCCAGCACCGCCTCGGGGAGCCTAAGGTCTTACTGCCATATATTTTGTAAGTGAAGGGAAAACTGATGGGTGTGATTGACCTAAATGATCATCCAGTGTGGTTACAATTTAACTGCTAAGTAGAGTCTGAATAGATGGGAGTTGGCTCTTGGACTGAGGACGGTGTGAGACCACGTTTGGTTTTCTTTCTGACTTACGGACTCTTTTTTTATTTCTTTAGATTTTATAAGTAGAAGTCGGGTTTCTGTTCTTTTTATTAACCCCAATTTAACTTCATCATCTAGTCTCTTATTTCTAAAATGATACGGCCCTTTTTAGTTGTAAGTAATGTATTTAAGTGACTGGTCTCACCAACTTTGCTGTTTTGAGTGCTTTACTTTAATGTTGTTAATGTTGTGTGCCTAAAGGGGACAAATATAAATTATTGAGCAGGAAGTTACTTATAAATGTCCAGAACATACTAGATATATAATACGCTAAAAGATGTTATCTGTATATTTAGGTTCTTTTAAGCCTAACGTGGATTTTGTTTTTTGTTTGTTTGTGGTGCTGGAAATTGAATTTAAGGGTCGTGCATATATAAGTGTTCTGCCACCGAACTGCGTCCCTAGTCTGTGAGAGTTTGAAGGTTCAATAATGTAACGCTAGATAATGTTAAGATACTGCAAACCTGCTAGGTGGTTGTGGTTGTGCACTCCTTTAATCCCTGCTCTCGGGAGGCAGGCCGATCTCATAGTTTGGGGCCAGCGTGGTCTACAGAGTGAGTTCCAGGACATTCAGGGCTACACAGAGAAACCCTGTCTTGAAAAACCAGCGCCCCCTCCCTCCCAAAAGCAGCTTATTTCAAACCGCTGAAATTTTGGTATTTTGTTGTAACCACTACCTTCTAAAATAGGGCCTATTTTCACCACTAGAGTTAGCCGCTGCTCATTCAGGACTTTCCCTTTCCTTGTTCTACAACTTGCCATTAACATTACCTTGGTGAAGTTATTTAAACTATGCATTTGAATGTTCTCCTGTTTTTTTTTTTTTTTTTTTTTTTTTTTTTTTTTTTTTTGGTTTTTCGAGACAGGGTTTCTCTGTGGCTTTGGAGCCTGTCCCCCTGTGAATTGGAGATCACTGTAGAGACTACTTGTGGTTGAATGGCAGTGAGGAACATATTGCTCACAGTGAAATGCTTGTGAAAATTCATTTTGTCAAAATGCTTTAAGAATATGTGAAAGCATAAAGTATAAACAGAAAATGTATTTGTGCTTCTCATGTCTTTGGAACAAAATAGAAGCTTTTTCTTCCTTCTTAGTTTCCTTATCTACCTAGTTAGCTAACTGTTTTGTTGCCTGTCTTTGTTCCCCAACATCTTTTCTGTTATCCTAAAAATTGCCGCAACCTTAATTTAGACCAAATGCTTAATATATCCAAATACAGCTCATACAAATGTTTTGTTTTCTCTAAAATTGTTGTAACTTCTCATTTAACAGATTGTTTATTTTTTCTTAACAGATGTATTTTAAATAGGTAACATTTCATATGGTTCAAGACCCATATAGGTTTATAAAAATGCCTCGTTGTTCTATGTCGCTGTAGAATTTTTTACTCTATGAGTAAGCCATGATTTATTTAACCACTCTTCTATTGATCAGCATTTGGGATATTTCCAGATGTCTGTAGCGATTCTTTAATAAGAAGGAAAACTCAGTAAGTAGTATATATAGTGTTGTTATAACAAAATACCACTAACTGGGTGCTTTAAACAACAGAAATTCTGTTTTTCTAGTTCTAGAGGCTAGGATCAAGAGATCAAGGTTTCAGCATAGGCTGATGTGTCATGAGGGCCGCTTTCCTAACTCCCAGATGGCTGCATTCTTTGCTGTGTACTCAACCAATGTCTTCCTTTGTTTAAGTGAAGAGACAGCACTCTCCTGTGTTTCTTCTTAAGGGATTAATCTTCTGTGATTAGAGCACTACCTGTATGACCTCATTTACTTTTAATTATTTCCATAAAGGCCATATCTCTAATAGCTCAGGAGTGAGGGCTTTCACACATGAATGGGGGGGGGGGGCATGAAGGCACTTTGCCTAATTTCATACTCTTAAAAATTGGCTGATTGCCAACATTTTGAAGTTGGATTTCATTTAAAATCTAGATTCCATTTTCTCATAAGTAATTAGATGATAGAATAAGGTAAGATTTTATATATTTCAGAGCATTGAGTCGTTGCTGCTGTGGCCTTTTATTCTTTTTCTCAATTGATACTTAAGTGCTGTGTGCCACTTGTGATTGCTGCACATTTTGTCTTATGATTAGTCCCACAATTAGTGGGTACCTTTACTCTCTTTGTCAATAATAGACCTTATTGTGACGGAATGAAAGGACCTCCATTCTTGTTTTCTACTTTACGTAACTATTCCAAAGTCCATGGTTGTCATATTTTTTTCATTTAAAAAATTTTGTTCTTTGAGAATTTTATACATGTATATAATGAAATATGTACATATCCACCTCTCATTTCCCTCTTTCCAACTTTCCTCCGAATGCCATCCCAACTTCATTTTCTCCTCCTCTTTTTTTAAAAAAAAAAAAACACTAAGTCTACTCAGTGCTCCTGATATGTGCATGGATGTGGAGCCATCTACTGGAGGGAGCCGATGCTACCTACTAATGGCCACACCCCCAAAGAATGTTTCTCTGACTCAGCAACAATAGCATCTTAGTTAGAGGCCAAGCCTTGTGGGTTTCTCCATTCCTGCTGAACTTTTGTAGTTCTTGTGTAGGTAACCATAGCTGCTGTGAGTTCATGAGTGTAATAGCCATGCCATCTCTAGAAGAAAACATTCAAGTATTTTTAGGTAGAAAAAGAACTTTTGTATTGAGCTGGTTTCAAATCCCAGCGCAATCATTTCCATCTTACATGGCTTTAGCATTGCTTAATCGCTTTGATCCTGTATTTCCTTTCGTGTGTATGGCGTTAACAGTAGTGTCACTTTTATTGTTGTGTAAGAGAAAATGGGGCTTAAAAATCGTCATCTGAGGTACCTAGTCCAACCACCACAGTGGATACTCAGAAGCAACCCCTTTCCAGCACTGCCCTGACTCTCTATTTTCTTACAAGACATATAATAAAGTGAAGTGCAAAATATATATGTGCTACGGTTCTTTATTTTTCTAGTAATAAAAATATAGGTGATACTTTAAAAAAATGGAATCTCAAAATTCTAAAACATGCTCCCCCCCCTTTATTTTTCTGTGTAAACCAGGCTAGTCTCAAACTCAGAGATCCACCTGCCCCTGGCTTCCTGAGTACTGGAATTAAAGGTGTGTACCATCACTGCCTAGCTCTCTTGTACATTTATTTACTTAAGAAACCTACAATAATCTATGTGCTAGTGCTGTTATTATCATAAGGAACTCAGAATTCTTGCCCAATTTGTTGTTGATGCAAAACTGATTATTACAAAATTTTGAGCTGGTGGTGTTTATAATCCAAGTACTTCAGAAACCAAGGCGGGGGAGGGGGTTGTTCTGAGTTCCAGGCTAGCATGGATTACAACATAGTGAGACCCCCATCTCAATGAAAAGAAAGGAAAAGAAGAAGGCAAATGCAGTAGGGAGAGGGTGGTTTGCATATTTGGAGCCAAGATATAACAACATAAAAAGTAAACATTGAACTTAAAATCAGTTATTTCATCTATTGATTATCAGGAAATTAGGAAATCATTTCTAGCTGAAAAGCAGTAATAATACGCAAGGAACCTCCTTGGGAAATATAAAAGAAAACTTCTGAGCCACTATCAAAATTTAGACAATTTTGACAGTTAAAATTGTTGTCTCCAATTTCATTTGAAAATTCAGAGGCTATACTAGGCATAATACTACCAATTTGGACTCTAGGTGAGTCAAGCATATGGGCACAAAGCAAATGCAGCAGAGATATTGATCTGAGCCTATGAATCACATTTTCTGACATGAAAAAGGTGTTTTTCTCTGTAAAATGCGATTTGTCCGTCTAGAACTACAGGATTTCACATTATCGTTTGCAGAGCCGTAATGCTTCAATAGAGCCTCCCAGGGTTAAATCAGTGGGGGAAGTGTATACTAAGGAATAAGAACAATTAGGACCAGAGCTTGGAAAACTTTGACTTCTAACAGAATTGAAGCTCTTGTCACACACCCCTGGATGTAGTCTAAGGACCAAGGACATTGTCTGCAACTATAATAGATGCTCAACAAATTTCTGAAGGCTTATCATAATGCTGACAAAAAAAGGAGCAAGGGGTCAGGGCTGGTATTTTAGGCTTGTAATCCCAGCTTTCACCAGGGTAAGGCAGGAGCATTTGCTTGTGTTTGAAACCAGGCTGAGCCACACAGTGAGTTCCAGGCCATCTTAGGCTACAGTATAAAACCCTGCCTTACTCTCACAGAAAGAAAAAGGGAGTAAAGAATGGAGGGAGGGGAGGGCTTCTTAGTAAAAACAAGAGTTGGGAAATGTAGGAAAGCGTGAACTAAAGCTGCAGAGGCTGCGTATGAAACACACTGGAGTGGTAACGGTAACTTGAAGGGAGAGGTGCTGGGAGGACTAGCTAAGTGGTTTCCAGTTCCTAACTTGAGGTGCTGGGAGGACTAGCTAAGTGGTTTCCAGTTCCTAACTTGAGAAAGAGGTGTGGAGGTAGAAGAAGGGTTATGTCAGATAATGCTCTTGTAACCCAAAGGGGGCACTCGTAACTAGAAGCATTTGATTGACTGCTGCCAGGAAAGCCTGGACAAGTGTTGCAGAATTATTTCCTTTGCATTCATAGCATCCTTGGCTAGTTGTTATTTCTAGCTAGGACTAATTGCAAGGCATCTATTGTCTGGTCTCCTTTGTTTGGTTCCTCTGGGTTAAGATAGGACAGGGTGGAGGAGGCACAAGTATGATCTGAAATTGACTGGCTAATTTGTAGGTAAGCTGTAGATTTTGCTTTGTTTCCTTGGCCCCTGTTTTCCTCTCTGGTGAAACTGAACTGTAGATAAAGCAAACAAAAGCTATTCCAGAGGAAAATGTAGGTGCTTTTTATAAGATGACTGATGGTTCAAGGTATTGAAATGAAGCTATCAACAACATCTCTTCGTAAGAGGGACAGCTATGTATAGTATAGAGGAAGAGGAAAACTGCTTTTAGCTATGCTTGACTTACAGATTTAAAATGCATAGACAAAAATGGTTTGTTGGTTTGTCTTTGTACATATATTACTCACATAAATAGTTGTTAAAAGTCCTTAGTGAAAACAAAGACAGGACCAGGATCGGAAATATTTTGGAACTATAGAAGTATGCTGATAATCACTGAAACAGGACAGGTTGGAGAGGTTTGTAGAAATAGGTTCACTTACATGAAGGAAGGGAAGTACTTATAGTATGTAGGCAGCCAGTGTCTTTTCCTTGAGTAGATTAACTTAGAATGTTCTAATAACTTTTTAGCATAAGTTTCGTCTGAAAAACTGTTTGTAGAGAATGGATGGGTGAAACCAAGTGTACATGTCACACTCTATGCATATAATGGGGTCAGCATTGTTCTGAAAGCTGTTTGCCCTTTGTGTCTTTTCTAGATATGGATCACCTCATGAACAGCTTGGAGGTCCAACTTAATTCAGAAAGAGGATCAATGCAGGCATTCAGACAGGTGAGTTTTGGGGAGTTGAATATCTCTTAAGCTTTGCAGAATTGAAGCCCCATTTTTAAATGACATGTATGGAAAATGAGAAGGGATAAAAGAAGGTAGCTTTGTCCAGAATTAATTGAATGTCTGGGTGTGGATTTCTGTGTGGCCTCGAAGAAACAGCTTTGTATTGTCCTTGTATTCTTTGGCGAAGAACAATGATAATTTATTTAGCACTGTCCCAGATTTCAGATACGGTGAAAATTGTGTGCTTTCCTTCATTTCCTTTCTTCAGTAGCCAAGTTGAACAGAGTATATGAGGGTTTTCGAAGGAAGCATCCTGTTGACTCTACTTCCCTGCTGTTTTCCTTGAGCACCCTGGCCAATACTTTTGCTGTGTGTGTGTGTGTGTGTGTGTGTGTGTGTGTGTGTGTGTAGAAAAAAAGATAGAAGCACGCACACACACACACACACACACACACACGGATATTATATATAGATATAATTTTTAAAAAATTGGCTCCTGTGATTATAGAGGTATTGCAAGTCCAAAACCTAATGGACTGGATCAACAGACTACAGAGTTAGAAAAAGCTGCAGTTTGAGTCTCCAAACACTGTTGGCAGAATCCTTGTACCCAACATGGTGGTACAAGTCTGTAATCCCTCTACTCAGAAGGTTGAACCAGGAAGAGTATGAGTTCTAGCCCAAGGAGATCCTGTCTAAAAAGAAAAAAAAGCAATTCTTTCTTTCACTGTGAAAATCGATGTCAGTGTCCTGGTTTGCTTCTGTTGTTATGATAAACACCATGACCGAAAAAGCAGCCTGGGGAGGACAGGCTTTATTTATTATAGTTCATAATCAAGGAAATCAAGGCACAAATTTAAAGGTAGGAATCTAGAGACAGGAACTGAAGCAGAGACCACTGAGAAACAGGGCTTGTTTCCCTCTCCTGCTTGGCTTGTAACCAGGCTTTATTTGCCCAGTGATGGCTCCTCCCAAACCAAACATTAAAAAATTACCCCACTAAGAGTCTAATCTGATGGAGAAAATTTCTCAGTTGAAAATCCATCTTTCTATGTATGTCTATGACACTTAGTCTTTGTTTTATTTTTTTTAAGATTTATTTACTGTGTATACAGTGTTCTGCCTGCGCACCAGCAGAGGGCACCAGATTTCATTATAGATGTTTGTGAGTCACCATATGGTTGCTGGGAATTGAACTCAGGACCTCTGGAAGAGCAGCCAGTGCTCTTAACCTCTGAGCCATCTCTACAGCTTAGTCATTGATTTATTTAGGGCTTTAATAATTTATTAAAGCCTCTTCACTTTATGGAAGTGGTTTATTACAGGTCCAGTGATTTAAATATTTGTCCTATTGGGGAAAAAAAGAGGCTAGTTGTGATATTCCACATCTTTAATCCTCTATTCAGGAGCTCGAGGTAATCAGATCTCTGAGTTCAAGGCCAGCCTGGTCTACATATCAAGTTTCAGGCCAACAGTGATTGCATAGTGAGACTCTGTCTCCAACCAAACAAACAGAAACATGTAGAAAACTGTTTAACCAACCATCTGACACTGCTATCCAACTAAGTTTTCATACAATATTAACAATCACTGGTCTTGATGTTTGCGTTTTACAGCAAAGAAAACTGGTCTTGAATGATGTGAAGAAGTATTTATTTTTTGAGATGGGTTCTATTATTCCATAGGCCTGACTGGACAGGAGCTTGCTGTGTAACTCTGGGCATCCGCACACTCATAGCAATCCTCTTGTCAGGCTCTTCAGTTCTGGGCTTTCAGGCAAGGTATGGTGCCTAGATGTTCAGGGTTGAGTCATAAGACTGCATAAGTGAGCCCCAAATACAATCAGAATTACCTTGAAAAATCTGTTAAAATTGCATGGAAATTGAATATCCAAATCTCTCTATATAATATTCATCTGATTCTTTCCATCTTTTTAACCTGTCAATAGTGATGGGTTGCTAGTCCTTATTTAGTCCCAGGTGAAATCTCTGGGTTACATTTAGGAGTCATATCTGCCATATATATGCTGTGTGTGTGTGTGTGTGTGTGTGTGTGTGTGTGTGTGTGTATACATATATCATTTTCTTGAGGTCAGTCCTCAATATATAGGTCTTGTTGGCCTGGTACTCAGTATATAAACCAGGCTAGCCTTGAACTCAGGGTAATCCTCCTGCTTCCTTCTTGTCAAGTTTTATTTAGAATTGGAGGTGTGTACCACCAGGGCCAGCTAATGAGTCCTATTTTTAAGCAGTGAATGATTGGTCCATGGCGTATAATTGGATTTAAGTTACGTATGCATTTGGATGAGGGTCCTCTGTAGTGTTTTAATGATGTTAAATTGAATTGAATATCTTGTTTATCTTTGTAACTGCTGCCATTTAGAAACTATCAGTACATCAAAAACTTCCTAATTGTGCAAAACATCGCTGGAGCTTGGTCATAGTGGTACTAAGAGAAAGCTTTCTGACTCAGGAGACACCTGCTTCTCTCCATTTTCTGTATTTCTATATATTCATACCATGCAGAGCGGCACTTGACTGCCACCCATCTTTTGTTTCTAGTTTTTGGTTACTTTCTTGAAGTGGAATCTCTTGGTTGAAACTTGTGAGTGCCTTGTTATAACCTACATGTCTCTTTCCATGTATGTCCTTTGACTGTTAGCATATTACAACTTTTTAAAAAATATTTATTTATTTATTATGTATACAATATTCTGTCTGCGTGTATTCCTGGAGGCCAGACGAGGGTACCAGATCCCATTACAGATGGTTGTGAGCCACCATGTGGTTGCTGGGAATTGAACTCAGGACCTTTTGAAGAGCAGGCAATGCTCTTAACCTCTGAGCCATCTCTCCAGCCCCCATTCTACAACTTTTTTACAGTCTTTCTTACACACATACACACACACACACACACACACACACACACACACACACATACACGTGCTCTCTTTCTCTCTCTCGATCTGCATCAAGACACTTTGTCCCTTAATAGCTGGAAATAATCACACTCTCCTGTTAAACTTCATCAGAACTGCCACACACCCCCAAATGAACAGTTTTTCTATATCTAGTGGAGATATATATGTATTTCTGAGAGGTTTCCAGTGACATATTTTCTTAATTTTTTTTTGCCCACCAGGACTGTGCCTAAATGAGTCTGTCCAATCCTCATCACATTTAGGAGTCCAAATTTCAATTCTATCTCTTCTATAAAATTTCCCCTGACAATCGAATGCCCATGGATCTCTAGTGCACTCATAGTCCCAGAATGCTAATTGATTTCTAGCAGTTATTCACATAGTTCCGTTCACTTCTTGTCCTATATTGTCAGCTGTAGCATGGAAATATCTCACATCTTACTGTTGATGATTTTCATTTCTTGCTTCCCCTTTCTCTCTTTTTAAGATTTATTTTTTAGTGGCATGTAAATGTGTGTCTGTATGTGGCCGTGTGCATATGGATGCAGGAGCTCTGGAGGCCAGGGGCATCGGATTCCCTTGGAGCCTGAGTGACAGGTGGTCGTGGGCTGCTCACTGTGTATAAACAAATCTATTCTCTCAGAATCCTAGAAGCATAAGTCTGCCACTGCCCTGGACTATCAAATTGTCATATCAGTTGACATAGTGACAACATAGTTTCTTACCTTTTCACACACCTGGAAGATACAGGCGTTCCTTGGTTTGTGGCCCTATCACTCTGGTATCTGTCTACCTTTGTGTTCATATCACCTTATTTTGTGGCCCCCTAGGTAATCCAGAGCGGTTGCTTTAACATCCATAATTCTATCTGTAGTTATTCTTTTCCCAACTAGGTGATGTTCCTTGATTCTGGGCACTAGGATGTGGATAAATATTTTTTGGTGACCATCTATCAACTTGGTATAAAATGTTACAACAAGCATCTAGTTGTTAAAGTAATTTTGATGATATATCATTAAAAGTAATTATACATTAAAAAGAAATGATTTCCTCTCTTTCTTTTTCTTTTTTAAATTTCAAATGAGCTACTAATATTTCTATGCTGTGTAATAAGCAAATACTTAGAACTCATATATACACAAATACGTATATGTGCACATGCATATCCTGTGGTTTTATCTCTTTGTTTTTGGGGACGGTCTCTTGTCATGTATTCTAGGCTGACCTGAAACTGAACATCCTCCAGCCTCAGTCCCCTGAGTTCTGAGATTTCAGGTGTTTGCATTTTTGATCTTGGTTTCCCCTTTTGTTATATAATGTGTTAATTATCACATTCATTAGGTTGTATAAAGAGAAATTGTCCAGTAGTGCCTTATTTCCTAATGCTACTGTGATGGCGAAGACAGAAGATTCAACATTCCTCTAGGTTTAGATTAAATTTAGCGTTTTAATAATATTCATCTCCATCCATTTTTCTCTAATACTGAAACACATCATGGCATTATTGGAGAAGGGCTGGAATTTCAGAGGGTTAAACTGGCTTTTCGACCAAACTAATGAATGTGCATAATATATGTGTACGCACACACAAGTGCACCAAGGCATGAAAATGATTAGTCGAAACCCAGAGCAAAGCTAGAAGAGACCTGTGTACAAAAACAGCTTTTATCTTTCGCTTGGGGAGGAGCCTGGGTTTTATCTTGTTACCATGACAACACTCCTTCCTCTCCTTTCTACTTACTGCGCTGCCTGCAGTATTTTGTTCTTTCATTTTCTTTCTTGTCTTGCCTTCCTACTTTAAAGCTCCACATCAGAGCTATTTCAGATAAATGAGAAGTAACAGTTTGGTTTGCCTCACTTGATTTCCCCTGCTCTCCTGAAGCCAAGGCTGTCTTCATCAGATGTTTAAGAGCTTAAATATTTATAAAAGTGACCACTTTCTTTTCTGGATTTTTTTGTAGAATTGCGTTTCTCCATGATCTTTGGTAATTTGTCAATAACGAATTTAAGAAAAATGCCAAATTAAACATTCTTTTTTTTAAAGCCTGATTAGGATACTAGGCATATGAGGAGGAGT